CAAGTCTGCCCTTGTCTCTTTGGCTGCTACATATCTGCTTCCATCCTCTCTCCAAGGTTACAGTGGATCATGTGTCCAATCTTTGTACATGTATGGGCGTGCACGAAACTTACACTTTAGAATTTTTTAATCTGATTGTGTGATGTTCTAATGTTAAGCATACATTGACAGAATGGATCAATTTATAGTCCCTTATCAATTTATTGTCCATGTACAGTGTTTAGTTTGACTTGTAATATGGCAAGCTGAAATACACTACCTTTCAATTACTGGATACGAATTGGAGTTGAATGGTAAAAAAATTTATGCAAAACTCTCCAGTATATGTCAATTTCTAAAGTTTTGCAACCATGTTTTTTTTATGTGCTACCGATTCTCTCAGCTTCTGAAATGCTTAATTTTCTTATTGGAAAGCTTTTGATTTTAGGGAGTGCTCTCTCCCAACCCTTGCAATGCATTTGGCTTCATGTGGTTTGGACATGCTGTGTGGGAGAGGGAGGTAGTGGCAAGAGAGATGTATTATGAGGAAACCATGTAGAGAGGAGAGGCCATGACTGAGAAGAGAAATGCTAAGGGCCTTACACACCAGTATTTGTGCTAGGGTCGTAAAGGAACTATAACATCATTTCCATTGCTTCCACCCAAACATGAAAATGGAGTGCAACTAACATGAAAAAGGAATCATGTATATGCCAACCGGCCCGTTATTAGAATTTGGATAGAACATAGAATATCTCGGAATTATTATTGGTGAACTATTGCAAACATGAAAATGTCATGCAATTAAAACCTGTAAAGAATATCTAATAAGAGTACAAAAGTTGAATACAACATTGGCTGCTATGTTGTTTTCCTATCGATTTACCATTGCAAAAATTTAAAATGACAAGCAACAAAAACCTGCATAACACAATCTAATAAAATCATAAAATTAATGCAACAAAAGCATAAAGTTTGAAGATCGGCTGATGCTAAGCTACTGAAGCTCCAAAGTCCCCCATTCCCTTAGATGCTTCTATTTTGTGCAGAAAAACTAGAATTCTCTTTGACCTCTAATTTTTAACCATTGTAACCTAGAATTCTCCTTGATGTCTAATTTTTAACCATAGTGCTCAAGACAACATAGTCTCACTATTGATCCATAAACACCAACGAAACATGCTACTTAGTTTGCAAAAGTAATAAAATTTCATAATTATGACACAACGTGAAAGGGAGAGAGAAGGAGATGAAGAGGGAGAGAGAGACTAGAGAGATAAAGCTTGTGCAAGGAGTGAACTTTGATGAGAGAGAGGGGCTTGCGTGTGGAGAAACCTTGATGAGAGAGAGTCTTGCCTGTGGAGTGGAAACCTTGTTGATAAAAGAGAAAGAGAGTCGCAGGAGGGGGTAAATATTAATAAACCAACAAGACTAAGCCAAAAAAGGTTTGAGTATCACTTGAATTTATTTGACACATTTTTTGAGAGAAAGGTCATATCTTTTTCATTGAACTATAAATCTTTATGAGGTTATCCTTCCGAATGGTTCTTACTTCTTACCTTTAATCTTAATCATTTTCCTTGGCCTTTGAGAAAATTGCAATTTTTGGTACATCTTGGTACCTAGTCTTTCAAAGTTTAGTCTTCTTCGCTCTCTATTTCCGAATCTTTGTTTGCTTTGTCTTGTTCAACTCTATATTTGCGTCTTTCTTTTTCCAAGGGAAACCTCTTGTTTTTGTGGGTGCACTAACATATGTACCACAAATTTTTTTATAGAAAAGACTATTGCTAGACTATTAATCTTTAGGAAAATATTTCATGAATCTAGTAACACCCTCAATTGTACGAATTTTTCATCTTGCAACACATTATCTAGACCGTGCATTAACAATATTTTTATATGTTTATAGATCTACATGATTTTAACCATTTTTGGAGGTTAAAATTTAATAATTTAATAATTCAATATGAAAATATGTTTTAGATAATCTTAAAAAACATTTACCACAAATTTCCATATTATGATAAAATTTAGAGGTCCAGTTTAATTGGATTTTTTTTGGTTGCAACCTTTTACAAACTAGGAACCACACCTACAATAAATAAAGCCTTTTCTTTATGGGGTAATTACTATAGGTAAATGCCCATTGATGTGTCGCAATTAAGACCTAGATGTGAGAGCGTCGGGATCGCGATCTTAAAATTATTGGAGCGGGTATCTAATTTATTTGGGAACCACATCTACAATGTTACGGAACGCATTCCGTGAGAAATTGGGATTGAGATCCATGATAAAGGAGAAGCGATCTCCGTTGTGAGTGGGAACGTGATCTGTGTTTTATAAGGAGCGAGCTCCATTGTGTATGGGATCGAGATCCATGAAGTAGATAAAGCTTCCTGATTCAGAGGGAGTGAGCTCCCAAGCGAATAAGATCCAAAATCCAAAAAATTGGAGCGAGATCTCGAAAATTTAGGAACAGGTTCCTAGCGAGATCCCACCACCGGAATGCCGGAACGAGATTTCGGAGCGGGAGTGCCACCCTAAAGTGGCGCTCCCGATAACTATGATTTGGACACACTTCATCCCGTACAATTTTATATCCAATGACTGATAGTGACTATGGCATCTTTGTAACAAAGATGAATGGCCTTACAGTATGCGATCCTATTCAATCATATCTTCATTAAAAAGAGAGGAGAAAGAAAAGAAATTTACGTGGCAAACTAGGGGAAATCATTTGTCAAATGCAAAGGCCATAATGGAAATGGGTTGGGGCATTAGTGGTTATGGGGAAAGTGCTTGTACGTCCTAGAATCCATTCCCAAAAATCAAACCTTCAAGAAAGAAAAAAAAACGACAATTACTTTTTCTTTTAAGAAAATAAAAATTACCTTGGGCCTTGCTAAAGAAAATCCTTTGTGAATTAGAAGGACCACATCGCCCCACGTACATACGCATCAGCGCCTCAGTTCGAATCTCTCTCTCATACACATCAATCCTTATTCCGAATATCTCTCTCACACTTTTGCACACACTCGCTCTCTCTCTTCCTAACCCTCAACTCTACCTTGAAGGTTTTTTTTATGCTGTGAAACCTTCAACTTTGAACTTGAGATTCATAGATCTGGTTGATCCTCATCATTTTTAAAATTTTAAATTTCATAATTGGAATAACAATAAGTTTTCATATTGTCACAAGGCTTTACATTTCCAAAATTACATTTCCGGCATAGTTTTGAAGTGCACCTTCAATAGTATAAAATTGACACCCTCTACAAACCTATCACACTCTCTCTCTTTGGCTCATGCAGGCGCAAAAACAATGATTCTTTACGTCTATTTCAAGGGAATTATACCACAACGACAATGCACAATTTAGTGACGTATGCATGATTGAGACCCTTCCATTTTTTTACAGTTAAAAAGTGGGGACTTTTGAGGAGCGTTCATCACACTCCCCTGTGGATGAACGGAACGGACTTCAACAATAATCAGATTAATCGAGGATAAGGATGGTTAGAAGAAAGTCTAAAATGAAAGTGGTTGGTAAAAGAAGGAGATTAAAGGGGTATTCATCATCTAAGGGGGGCATGGGAACCATGTGCTAACATGTGCAAGGTTGGCCCTTTAATGGTCCACACTACCACACTACTAAACACCTTGATTCCCAAGTTTCCTCCCTCTACCCTCCCACCATTCGTCTTCTTTCCTCTCTCTCTCTCTCTCTCTACTTCTCTCTCTAGAGTGGGTAGTACTACGTAAGGTTAACGGGTTC